ATATATAACTGTAGTTATATATATTAAAACTGTTATATTTATTATAATTGTAGTTATATATATTAAAACTGTTATATTATTATAACTGTTATTGTATTTATTAAAACTGTTGTATTTATTAAAACTGTTGTATTTATTAAAATGTTGTATTTATTAAAACTGTTATATTTATTATAACTGTAGTTATATATATTAAAACTGTTATTTTTATTATAACTGTTGATATATTTATTATAACTGTTGTTATATTTATTAAAACTGTAATTAAATAATTATAACTTTTGTTATTTATTATAACTGTTGTTAGACGAAAAACTTTGGACTGCAGTCACCTGGAGTGCGCATGTGCAGCTCCACACTTGGAGCATTTCACTCCTCCATGGGGGGTTCCCCTGAAAACCTCAACTCTGAGACCTGGACTCAGAAACCTTCAGTTTCAGAGAGGATGAGGATGTTGTCTGCGAATGAACGTTTCATGTCGTGTAAATGGGGCCTCAGACTGGCTGCCCTGCCTGTAAATCAAATGAAAACTTTCATTTATGGATGATCGATTGGCGTCTAGTTATTAATGCCATCTACCCAGAATACCTTTGAGATCCACCTGTAGGTCGAGATTGACGTATTGGACACCTCATGTCTACAAACTGGATTCCAAAAAAGTTGGGACAGTAAATAAAATTGTGAATAAAAACTGAATGCAATGATGTGGAGGTGCCAACATCTAATACTTTATTCAGAATAGAACACAAATCACAGATCAAAAGTTTAAATTGAGAGAATGTATCTTTTTAAGGGAAAAATCTGTTGTTTCCAAATTTCATGGCATCAACAAATCCCAAAAAAGTTGGGACAAGTCCATTTTTACCACTGTGTGGCATCCCCCCTTCTTCTTACAACACTCAACAGACGTCTGGGGACAGAGGAGACCAGTTTCTCCAGTTTAGAAATAGGAATGCTCTCCCATTCATGTCTAATACAGTCCTCTAACTGTTCAATCGTCTTGGGCCTTCTTTGTCGCACCTTCCTCTTTATGATGCGCCAAATGTTCTCTATAGGTGAAAGATCTGGACTGCAGGCTGGCCATTTCAGTACCCGGATCCTTCTCCTACGTAGCCATGATGTTGTGATTGCTGCAGAATGTGGTCTGGCATTATTGTGTTGAAAAATGCAGGGTCTTCCCTGAAAGAGATGACGTCTAGATGGGAGCATATGTTGTTCTAGAACCTGAACATAGTTCTCTGCATTAATGGTGCCTTTCCAGACATGCAAGCTGCCCATGCCACAAGCGCTCATGCAACCCCATACCATCAGTGATGCAGGCTTCTGAACGGAGCGTTGATAACAACTTGGGCTATCCTTGTCCTCTCTGGTCCGGATGACATGGCGTCCCAGTGTTCCATAAAAAACTTCAAATCGTGACTCATCTGACCACAGAACAGTCTTCCATTTTGCCACACTCCATTTTAAATGACCCCTGGTCCAGTACAAACGTCTGAGCTTGTGGAGCTTGCTTAGAAATGGCTTCCTCTTTGCACTGTAGAGTTTCAGCTGGCAACGGCAGATGGCATGGTGGATTGTGTTCACTGACAATGCTTTCTGGAAGTATTCCTGAGCCCATTCTGTTATTTCCTTGACAGTGGCATTCCTGTTTGAGGTGCAGTGACGTTTAAGGGCCCGGAGATCACGAGCATCCAGTAGAGTTTTACGGCCTTGACCCTTACGCACAGCGATTGTTCCAGATTCTCTGAATCTTTTGATGATGTTATTCACGGTTGATGATGATAACTTAAAAGTCTTTGCTATTTTACGCTGGGTAACACCATTCTGGTATTGCTGCACTATCTTTCTGCGCAACAATGGTGGAATTGGTGATCCTCTTACCATCTTGGCTTCTGAGAGACACTGACACTCTGAGAAGCTCTTTTTATACCCAATCATGTTGTCAATTGACCTAATTAGTGTTAATTGGTCTTCCAGCTGTTCGTTATATGCTCAATTTCCTTTTTCCAGCCACTTATTGCTACTTGTCCCAACTTTTTTGGGATTTGTTGACACTGAAATTTTGGATCAACATATTTTTCCTTTAAAATGTTACATTTACTCAGATTAAACTTTTGATCTGTCATCTGTTACATTACAAATAAAATATTGACATTTGCCATCTCCACATCATTTCATTCAGTTTTTATTCACATTTTGTTTAGTGTCCCAACTTTTTTGGAATCCAGTTTGTACAAAACTTCATCCCAACAAGAACTTAGGCAAAGTGTGTGAAGTTACACACCTGCAGCTAATTCTTTTAGACGGTTTCATGTAGAGCCAACAGGTTTTTGGTCAAGCATTGAATGGATTCAACCCAGGAAAACATTAAATATGTATATTTACATATTTTGTACACAGTCTTACAACTCAACTTCAGTCCATTGTTAGAACTAGTCCAACTTATGCAGAAAAAATGAACCTTAATATACAGCATAGATCTCATGGCAATGCTCTGAAATTCCTCATTTTGTTAACTTTTCACGGCCATCGTGATTATTAAGAGCTCATGTAAAATGTGGGAAACGTTGAGCTTTAGGGAATGAGAACACTTTGGGAAAGTGTGATGTCCTCATGAACTCAGTTTTCTGAATATTTAGCTCCAACCTGAACACTGAAGCACCAACACATGAATTAATAATCAATTATGATTTAAGTCATTTTGTTAGTGTGTAAAAAAAAAAGAGCAATTCACAAAAAACATTTTCTCTTTGTTCTTCTTTTGGTGTTTTTGCTGTTTTATGGGTGGAAAATAAAGACAGAAAAGACGATCCAGTTTTAGCAGTTTGCACGTGCACACCAGACCGGCAGAGTCTCACTCATATCCACGTGTGTGTGTGTGGGTTTGATTCCCTCAGCCAGTGAAGGTCAGTGTGGTGAAGGGGGCACAAAATCACCACTTGTTGAGATCGTTGATGTCAGAAATAACTGGTCTCTGTCTCACAAGTGCACGTTCAGCCGGTCAGCGGCTGCTAGAGAGTGATGAGGTCGACCAGGTTGCCCTTGGGGGGGGTCATGCTGTCTGGAAAGAAGTTGACGAGCGTGTCAAAGAGCTGCGTTCGCTGAGCGTATGTCTGATCAACGTCAGAGAAACCTGAGGATGAAACAGAAGAAACATTTGATGTGACGTATCTAAAGCATGAAAAGAGCAGGTGTGTGTTAAAATTCAAATTTAAACAACTTTAATCTGACACACACACCGATGCTGCTCAATAATCCAGGTAGCAAAATCTAACAAAGTTAAGTCGGGTCCTCTGGACAGATAAAAATACAACAAGAAAATTAGAGTTTGAAGCAGAACAAGAGGAACAAAGTTTCAGCCTGCCTCAGCAACACCACCTTCCAACATCAGCAGAAGGTGATCTCACAACATCTCACAACCAACGTGTCCTCTTCTCCATATTAAACTCTGATCTCCACCTCACTGAACCATCACCTCTGGAAGCCTCGACTGAGCTGTGCGACAACTTCTTACATTTCTTTTTGGAAAATTTACGACCACCAGGGCTCTCATTTCCCCTCCAACTCATGACCCATCCATCCCACCTTAATCTGTAGCTCCTTTTGACCATTTTGAACCCATCACTCTATCTTCTCTAGAGCAGGTCATGTGCAACTTGAAACCTTCTGGCTCCCCCTTTGATGTGGTCCCCCCTCGACTACTAAAGGAGGTATTTCCCACTATAGGTCCGTCCATTCTTGCCATAGTAAACAGTAGTTTATCCACTGGCGTGATGCCAAAATCCTTTAAACATGCTGCAGTCCAGCCTCTCCTGAAAAAGCCAAACCTTGACCCCTCAGTCATGTCCAACTTCCGGCCTGTCTCCAAACTCCCATTTGTTTCTAAAGTACTGGAGAAAATAGTTGAGTCCCAGTTGAAGTGCTTCCTGGAGGATCACGCCATCTTAGAGCTTTTCCAGTCTGGCGTTAAACCTCTCCACAGCACTGAAACTGCCCTGCTGAAGGTCTTTAACGACATCTTCAGATTCACAGATACCGATGATTCTGTGCTGCTTGTCCTGTTGGACCTCACAGCCGCCTTTGACACCATCGACCATGAGATCCTCATTGCTAGGTTGGAGCAGTGGACGGGCGTCACAGGATCAGCCCTCAATTGGTTCAGATCTTACCTTGCTGACAGATCCTTTTGTGTCTCCATCAAGGATTTTAGTTCAGCAGAGGCAGAGCTTAAATGGGGGGTTCCGCAGGGGTCCATCCTGGGTCCCCTCCTATTCTCTTTATACCTGCTGCCGCTTGGTGCCATTTTCCGGAAACACAACATGCCCTTCCACTTCTATGCCCATGACTGTCAAATTTACTTCCCCCTAAGACACAATGGTACATGCTCTATTCAACCGCTGCTCGACTGCCTGGCTGACATCAGGGACTGGATGGCTTTAAATTTCTTAAGTTTCAATGAAAATAAGTCTGAAGTCATGTTGTTCCCTCCCAATGACACGATCACAAACCACTGCATCGACCTCTCCGCTCTAACCCTGTCAGAAAAACAAAGAGTCACTAATCTGGGAGTGATAATGGACCCTTCCCTGAAGCTTAACAATCATGTAAACATGATTGTTCAATCATGCTTCTTCCAACTGAGGCGGCTGTCTAAACTGAAGCCCATATTGTCCAAAAATAACCTGGAGACAGTAATACATGCATTCATTACATCTAGGCTTGATTACTACAATTCACTCCTGTTTGGTATCAGTCAGACCTCCATTGCACGACTACAACTGGTCCAGAATGCAGCAGCCCCATTTTTAACCAGTACAGGAAAAAGAGAGCACATTACACCAGTTTTGGCCTCACTGCACTGGTTACCAGTTCACCTTAGAATCCAGTTCAAAATACTCATGTATGTCTACAAATCACTGAACAGCCCCCCCCCCCCCCCCCCCCCCCCCCCATCTGCTAAAACCGTATGTCCCACCACGCTCCCTGAGGTCAGCGGACCAGTTGCTCCTCACAGTTCCAGGAACTCGTCTTAAGCGCAGAGGTGACAGGGCCTTCTCTGTAGCAGGACCAAGACTCTGGAACGAGTTACCTCTGCTTGTCAGACAGGCCCCCTCCCTCTCGGTTTTCAAGTCCAGTTTAAAAACTCACTACTATTCAGTAGCTTTCAACACCAGATGATCTGTGTCTTGAACCTGTATGCTCCACACTGGTTTGTCATCCTTATCTGCATCGTTTTTATGTCTATATTCTGATTTATCTCATTTTGTATTTTGCTTTGTGTGTTACCTGTTGTTCTGTCTGTACAGCACTTTGGTTGGCCTTGTTGCTGTTTTAAGTGCTTTATAAATAAAGTGGTATGGTATGGTAAAACATTAGGGGTGAGCTCAATCACAAACATCTGAAATTCAAAGGAGGAGTAAGTGTTGGTGGACAGAAGTCTGCATTTAAAATTGTCCTTATATAGTGGCAACACCACCACCACGGCCAGACAGGCGTGGGGAGCTGAAGAAGGAGCAGCTTGAGGAGGAGAGCTCAGAAAACGTGCTGTCATCTCCTGGTCTCAGCCACGTTTCTGTCAGCAGCAGGAAGTCCAGAGAGTTTGAGCTGAAGAAATCATGGAGAATAAAAGTTTTATTTATGACAGATCTAGTGTTTAGAAGGGCCATCTGGATGGAGCACTGGCTGTTATCCTGGGAGGTGCGGCCAAAGGAGTAGAGGTTCTCCTGAACTCTGCCATGCCTACAGATCTTTGCACACCAAAGACCAGGAAGTGCACCGCCGCCAGTGTCCGTATCCATGACACGTAGCCATCTGTAAGAATATTCCATGGGGCATCGTATGTCCACAAAGTTGTACTTTCTGAGAATCCTGCGTGAAAACTGGAATGAAGAAGAGGCGAAGTGAGCCCGAAGCTTCACAAGCAATCCACCCCTCCTGCCGTTTCTCCTGCAGCGGCGCCCGCTGCGGGCAACCACAACACAAGGATTCTGTAGAAATGGAAGTATAGATGCTAGGTGAGGTGGAGGAAAAGTCTTTGATCATCCATAAAGGTCAAGAAACTGTACTTTTCCCACGATGGAATTCATATTTGAAAGTGTTTGGCGGTCATAAGTAAACAGTGATGACACAATCTGAACAAGTCAGGAAAAATAGCACAAAAAGTAACAGCTTGAGGAGAGACAGACGGCAAGCCACATACAACGGCGCCATCTTGGAGTGTCACCCACACAACGTTACACATTTTTTATGTGCCTCAGCTCTTTGTGAGCTGTGACGTGTTTACATCTACATATGACAAAAATGTAAGAAAGTTTGCAGTTTACATGAGCTAAGGCGTTTACATAATTTCCGAGGTGTGTTATGTCATACTGTATGAGTTTCCGTTTCCTCGCTCTGCTGTAAACCATGTTCAACCTCATGAGAAAACATGGCATTTTAAAGCCCGCCGGGTTCAGGAAACCAATCACATTTGGTGCATTTAGGAAAGTTTCAGTGCTTACTAGTTTGATTCACTGGATTGAAAATGTTTGCATGGAGCACATCTTCACTGACCACCTTCATTGGTGGCATTAAAACTCCTGCTCTGGATCAGAATCTGCTCATTGGGGAAGGTGGAGGTGTTAAGTACCTTGCTCAAGAGCCCACAGAAAAGCAAATGAGGGAGGAGGCAGACAAGGGTACCAGAATTGCCTATCTATAGAGCACACCCGAGTATAAGCCGGGCGCACTAAATAAAAAAACAAAAAAAATCCAAAACACTTTTAGCCACATGTAATGTTGGGACAGCTTTGCTGTGGACACACTACTAATTAATTATTCTTAAGGCTAGTTCAAGCACAAAAAATATTGTTTAATTAACAACGGATTCTTTCTTTTTCGAGTTAAATTTCTGCCATGTGACCAAGATAACTTGAGAGTGGAGTGTATAATTAGTGACATGAGACGTAATTTATCTTTGACCCATCAGAATAAATGCGGTCATTTATTTAACAGAATCAAAATTTAACATCAAAACATGTACACTTGATTTGCTGATCTGTTTCTGATTAATAAACTTAGCAAGTTCAAATAACAAGACAACAGAGGATTACTGATGGAGAATAATTCATCTCTGAAGGCACCTAGCTTGATTTACTGGTGCAGAGGTTTAAAGAGAAGGAGTAAAGAAGTTTTAGATTTAAAGAGGAGATTTAGATGGAGGAAGGAAAATGTGTTGACCTGGAATGGCACCCTTCCTCCGACCCCAGCTCAGCCCTCGGTACACTCAGGGTGACAACTCTCTACCTTTGCAGAAGATAAATCAGCTCCGGTACAGAGGTCCATTTCACGCTCCCTTTTCAGCATCTCCGGTCAGAGTGGCTGGGAATCGTCAGAAGTCATGACGAAGTACTCCGTTCAACAGAATAAGCTTCCTTAGAAGTTGAGAGCATTTAATGCTCGGGGTGAATTCACAGCGAGGCATGCTGCGACTCCGCTGAAATGGAGGGACCCTTGGCACATGGTCCAATTCATCAGCTATTTAGTTCAGCTGTAAGACTCCAGCAAGACTGCAATCCCAGCCAGAACTCCAAACAGACTTTCAGTAAGAACTGAAAGTTCCTGTAGGACTCGCCGTAAGACTGAGTCTTCCAGTCAGACTGAGTCTCATCCTAGACTGAAAGTTCCAGGAAGACTCGTAAGACTTAAAGTTCCAGGAAGACTGAATAGTTCCAAGAAGTGTTGACTTTGAAAGGGTATCCACTTCTTGTCACTTGGTACTTCCTGATTGGTTAGCACAACCAGCAGGGGTGGAGTTTTAGTGATGTCAGAGGGTTATTAGAAGTCAACAGACAGCAGAAATGTTTTTAAGAACGGTTAGTACAGACAGGAAAATATTTTGAAGAAGTGAGACTCGCAGGTGCCAGCCAGTTCCTTATTTACTGTCAGAGTTTTAAAACAAGGCACTTTGTTCTCATAACTTGTTCTCTGTCTTTTGACCGACATCACTACTCCTCAATCAGACAGAAGAGTAAAATGCACACTTACTTCGTAAATAGACATTTAACTTGTATGATCTAAGTCTAATGAGGTTTAAAAATCATTAATACTGTTTCACAGTTGATTTAAATGAGTGGTTTAATTCAACATTAGAAATGGTATGAACTGAACACACTTTTGATTATCAAGATATTGTAAAATAGTAATGATAATATAAAAAAAGAAGAGTGTTCTTTCAATTGATTAATTCAGGATACAATTAAATAGTCTCTTGATGAGATAATTTGTATTTCTGGATTCAAATCAATGAAATAACGGTTCCTGTCCCCTGAAGGTCTTCAGAGACAGATTGATGTTGGAGGTCTAGTTCACTACACTCACAACTCCCCCTCTGAACCACCACCTCATCTTTATTGGGGACTGACATGCACCTATTATTCTACACCTCGGAAGTGTGTCTACATTTCTATCTCCGTTAATGCAGCCCGAACCACGTCTACCTCCACAAAAGTTGCATCAAAATGATTGGCTCGGCCACGTGATGTGTGCCATTACTTTTATAGGCATTTCAAGTTACCATGGCGATGTAACTTGCAAACAAAGACGCAATATTTCACCAACTCCAGGAACTATCCTATCATTCTGTGTTCGTTTGAATGAGAAAACATTCCTCACACCAACTGCTGCTGTCAAATCACATGATTTAGAACCTGAAGAAAACATACTCCCTGTTAGATTTGTTTGAAACTCACAGAAAGTAATCATCAGATGCATCTACAACTAACACTTGGAGCCATTTTGATTCAAGATGGCTGCCACAGCAAACACAAAATTGACTATAACTCAGTCATTTTTGGATATATTCAGCTAAAACTTGGCGTAGTGGTAGCTTAGAATGATCCCAAACAGACAGTACTGTCAATTTTGGCAGCAGCCTGGCAGTCCCCATCAAAGTTTCTCCAGGAACTTTCTAGTTCTTACAATTACTACTTACAGAAATTTAATCAACTATTTTTGAGAAAGGATCAAGTCAAAAGTTTTGAAGGTCAAAATACTGCTGACCTAACTGAAGTATGTCTGACAGCACTTGATGCTTTTGAACCCAAGCTTACCTAGAGGGATGAAGTCAGAACTGGACTTAAAGAGTGCCGATGGCAGCATCTGGAACTGTAACACAGCACAAATATCTGGATCAGAACTGAAACAGCTCAAGGCTTTATCCTTATCTGTCTCAGTACAGATGAGAACAAAATATCCCCATCCCAACATCCAATTTGTTTTTTTTTCTCTCGTCAAGTTTGCTTCTGTCAATGGGCCTTTCAACATATTTGATTTGGATCAAAAGTAGAATCTGTACCTCTTTAGTCTCATCAGGATCTGTGTGGTCCACAGTGAGCGACAGGTCGTTCTGCAGGTACTTCAGTGCATTTAGTGGCTCTGATTGAGCTTTCTCTTCAAACCTGAGTGAACAAAAACAACAATGGTAAACAAGCACTTTTGAGGATAGCCAAACAGACTTTCAAACAACAGATGCACCAGAAGCAAATATAGCTTTGGCTTCAGAGGTTAAAAAAAAACAAAAAAAAAACAACAACCATAAAGTCATGATGCTCATTAATCCATGTAGATTAATCTAACAAGGCTGAGTCAGAGGACCTGACTCAGCCTTGTTAAACTTAAAGTCTTCTACGACTTCAACCAGTCATAAGCCTGACTCGGCATGAAGTCCCTCTCATAAAAACAACCTGCAACAAAAATCAGACAACAGCTACCATTTTCTCACATTAAATTAAAGCATGGTGTCCTTGGTGGGGGTGCTGGAAGGTGTGCCAGCTGAGGACTCCTTTATTCTGATGTGGGCATCATGAAGGACCCCACTCACCCAGCACATACACTTTTTGCCCCGCTTGCTCCCCTCAGGCAGGAGGTTGAGGAGCATTAAGTGTAGAACCATTAGACTGAGGAACAGCTTCTACCCTAAGGCTGTTAGACTCAACCAGGATAATCACTGTGAGAAAAAAAAATCACTGTAATGCTTCAGGATTGTTGATATGCCCTGCTGATTATCCATTTGCTGATCTCATAGTTGATCTGTTTCATGTTGCTGTGTTCATTTGTACTTATCTACTCACACAGACTCATGTTCGTGCTGCTGTTGTTGGGCGTATTGTTTTATGCTACTAGTGATGTACCGATCAACTTTTAATTTAACTTCCGTTCCGATCCCGATACCTAAATCTGGATATAGGCCGCTACTGATATCGTTCCAATATCATCAACATTATGGATTTTATATGAGGCTGTAATAATCTCCTCTCAAGTACAATTTGTACAAATATATGCATGCATGTCCAAAAAGGCAACGAGTTAAGTTTTATTAATGCTGGATAAGTTTCAAAGTTAGAATTAAATCCTGCTAACACAAAACATGTTTGTTTTCCCCTAACTTTAAAGTGGACGTTAAAAAGATTAAATGGCTTTAAACATCTGCTAAGTTCATGGCATAAACAAACACAAACATGTTCCAGTTTTTAGTGTTTTACATCGCTTTATAATGTAGCTGTTTTTGTTTCCTTTTTTTTGAATATATATAATTTTCTTGTATTTTTCAATTCATGTGTTTTTTTATGATTGTCTACTGTTGTACTGATAAATATCTCCTGGAGAGTAAACTATATCTTGGCTGCAATTGTATTCAATTAAGCTGCAAAATCCTTCATTTTCTACAACTGATAGTGGTTGGTCATTAATTACTATGAAGTTTGGCAACTTCTCTGTAAACATTCGAGCTCCGTAGCTTCAGCGGTGTCTTCTTCTCGTTCAGTCTGAAGCAAACAGTCTGATTTCGGTCAGCCGCGCGCAGTCTGCCCGTCTTGGAGGAGGAGCAGACTGAGCGCGGCTGACTGAATTCAGACTGCCTGCTTCGGACTGAATGAGAAGAAGACACCGCTGAAGCCACAGAGCTCGAATGTCTAACGTAAAACTAAGTTTACCGCGGATTAATGTGGTGCTATATCTGATTGGGGACTGCCATGCAAATGCATGGCAGGCACCTATTATTCTACACCTCGTAAGTGTCTACATTTCTATCTCCGTTAATGCTGCCCGAACCACAATGTCTACCCCACAAAAGTTATATCAAAACAACCGGCTCGGCACCTATTACTTTTATTGACATTTCGAGTTACCATGGCGATGTAACTTGCGAACAAAGATGCAACATTTCATCAACTCCAGGAACTAGTTGGTGACTGCCCACTTATTATTCTACACCTGATAAGCATATATAACCCCACCTAGGATTCTCTGATCACATATCAATCTTACTGGTTCCTGCTTACCTGCCCCCGCTGAGATGCTCCAGACCGGTACAAAAGAAAGTTAAATGTTGGATCCAGGACAGTGGCCCCATACTGAGAAACTGTTTTGATCGAACAGACTGGAAGGTTTTCAGAGAAGCTGCAGAAAATGGAGGATCGCTTAATCTGGACCAATACGCATCCTCAGTTCTGGGTTACATTAGTACATGTACTGACACCGTCTCCACCATAAAATATATTAAAAGCTACCCAAACAGAAAACCTTAGCTGAATGCAGAGGTGTGCACCCTGCTGGAAGCCAGGAACACTGCCTTCAGGTCTGGAAACTAACAGGAGCTGAGAAGGACGAGGAAAGAGCTGGTTGCTGGTATTAAGAAGGCCAAGGCCACATATGCATAGAGGTTCGAGGGTCAATTCACCTCAAAAGATCCTCGGAGCATGTGGAGGGGCATTAAGTGTACAACAGATTATAAAGGAAGGAGCAAACAATGCCCCAAAGACCCATCACTGCGTGATGGCCTCAACAAGTTATATGCAAGCTTTGAAGACCCGAACAGACCACCCAGCACTAGACTCACCTCACCATCAGAAGAGAATCTCAGCGTGATCTCAGCCGAAGTAAGCGAAGTAAGGAGTACTTTCAGGAGGATTAATCCACACAAGGCAACCGGCCCAGACAACATCCTCGGAAAAGTGTTGAAAGAATGTGCCAATCAGCTCTGCAAGGTGCTGGCAGACATCTTTAACACCTCACTTACCCTGGAGACAGTTCCCACCTGCCTGAAGACCACCACCATCATCCCAGTACCAAAAAGCTCTACAGTGACTGGTCTGAATGACTATCGGCCAGTGGC